CACAAAAACTTATGCAAAATTGTTCATAACATTATTCATAACAGCCACAAAGTGGCAACAACCCAAATGTCCATCAACAGAGGCATGGATAAACAAAATATGATATTTCCATGTGACAGAATGTTATTTGGCAATAAAAAGGAAAGATGTACTGATAGATACCACAACATGGATGAACCTTGAAAACATTATGCTAAGTATAAGAAGCCAACCACAAAGGACAACATATTGTAGGATTCCATTAATATGAAATGTCCAGAATAGACAATTCCACAGAAACAGAAAGTGGATTAGTGATTATCGCGGGCTAGAGGGGGATGAGGATAGGGAGACAGGAAATTCATGGCTAAAGCGTGTAGGATTTCTCTTGGGATAATGAGAATATTCTAAAACTGACTGTGATGATGAATGCACAACTCTGTGAATATACTAAAAGCCATATATATGTACACTTTAAATGGGTAAATTGTATTATATGTGAATTTTATATCAATAAAGATGCTTTTAAAAAGAACAAATACAATTTTAAAGTCTCCTCAGCTTCATCAGCAGAGCATGTGGCCAAACTTTTGGATTGTTGTCACGCTGGCAGGTGAGAAATAATATCTTATTATAGTTTTAATTCACATTTCTCTTATTATGGAGCAAGTTCAGCATCTTTTCAGTCTAGAGTCCATTGATATTGATTTCTTTTTATTATATACTAAATTCCCATGTATATTTTAAGGTCTATTTGCAGACTTTCTAATCTGTTGTATATGTCTGCCTACTCATGCGCTAGCACACAATTTCAACTATTAAAACTTTATGGTGGGGGCTTCCCTGGTGGCACAGTGGTTGAGAGTCCGCCTGCCCATGCAGGGGACACGGGTTCGTGCCCCGGTCTGGGAAGATCCCACATGCCGCGGAGCGGCTGGGCCCGTGAGCCATGGCCGCTGAGCCTGCGCGTCTGGAGCCTGTTCTCCGCAACGGGAGAGGCCACAACAGTGAGAGGCCCACGT